TCCCGGTGTGCAGGGCGTGTCCCGGTGTGCAGGGCGTGTCCCGGTGTACAAGGTGTGTCCCTGCACGTAGGGCGTGTCCCGGTGTGCAGGGCGTGTCCTGAGCATAGGGCGTGTCCCGGTGTGCAGGGCGTGTCCCGGTGTGCAGGGCGTGTCCCAGTATTACATGGTTGCCTTGTCCGACTGATTTTGGTTCGGTTTGGTTGATCTTGTTTCCTTAGCACTCATGATGTGGTTTTTGCTTGAAGCAGTTGCGTGACCTAAAATGTGCCTGGATGATGACATCAGTGAGAACCATCTATTGGTTTATGTTCTATAAATGTCTTTTGCTTATTTTGTTAAAATATCCTCGAGCTTATTAACATGACTTTGCTTGGACCACAGAACAGTAAACCAGATTCCTTGCTGAAAATGGAAGAGGAGTGTAAATTTGACAGAACGTCCCTGTCAGGCAACAAAGACAGATTCAGCTTCATTATGTCTCATGGGAAAATGTCCAGGTACGTCTGGTTTGACTTCTAACTGGTTCGTGGTTTTCTGTAGAAAGCGCCCACAGATCAAGTGGGTTATGGTGATTACTAGGGATGCAAATCTCTCCGTGTCATTTGATTCGATTCTGATTTTTGGTGTCACGATGCGATTTAAAATCAATTTTTCAATTCAAAAGGTCATAAATTTAGTTTCAGTTTTAATGTACATGTAACTGACAAGCTGAAAAGATTAAAACAACATTGTAAACAAATAGAACATTTATTTAAAACAATCATTTACAGTTCTTTACTGTATAAAATATTTTTATTCATTTTATATTTATACCAAAAATAAGAAAAAATATAGGAGTGCATAAAACTCTGTAACTTTAATTACCAGTAGTGGGTTAGCTTAGTTGCCTGAATTTTTCTTAAAAAATAATTAGAAAAAATAAATAAAATAAAAATATAGAAACAAATAATTCATCCATCATCTTTATCCACTTCCTCCTTTACGAGTCACTGGTATCACTGGTTCCCATATCAGCCATCCCTGTGTGAGAGGTGGGGACACCTGGACAGGTCTCCAGTCCATCACAGACAAATAATTCAAAATATATAAATATCAAAGTAAACAGACTTCATCTACCAGACACAGTACATTAACCTTTAACATAAAATACAGACTTCAGTTATTTTAACCATATTGCTCTAACATTTGTTATATTTTCAAAACTTAACCTAATATGAAACATACAGACTTCAGTCTTAACCATATTGATTCATATTTAGTAAATGTTTAACTAAATTTAAAAACCTGCACTAAAACTTGTGAACTGTAATAATTTATAAACCATAAACGGTCTCATTTAGAAGTGGCTCCAGATGATGTGTCTCGTCTCTTCAACCTGTTCAAAAGATAAATTACATAAAGTTTGTTGGTGAGTTCTGGGCTTTGTGCTGATAAATCTAGAGCTCATCTCTGTTGGTGTCCTCTTGTTTCATTTTTAGCTCCAAGATCCTAAAACCTCAGACAAATTCAAGTATTTTTGGATCATTGCAAAACGTAAAGGATGATAAAGCCAAGCCTGTGAGAGATGAGTATGAGTATGTCTCGGATGAAGGAGAGCTGAAGATTGATGAATTCCCCATCAGGCGGCAAAAGAACACTATCAAGAGAGATCTGTCCTGTGAGTGTTTTGGACTTACGCATGCAGAGCTTCAGTTTACTTTACACATTTGCATTTACTTGAACTTATAGTTAATAACTAGAACTGCTTGTATTTACTGTAAATGTACTGGTATTACCTGCCACAGAAAGGAGAAGGTGGTTGAGAATGTTTTTGTCCCCGTCTGTCTCTGTCATCAAAATGTCTCATGAACAACTGGATGGATGTCTTTACAGTACTGTCAGAAAATATTTACAGGAGGCACATCTACAACCTGTCAGCTTTTGGAGTCAACCAAATTCAAGGTGTATAAATGTATCAATTAAATGATAAATGATGCACTTTGCTGTGTTTTGTCAGGTGTGTGGCCTCCCCTCACACACCTGATACTGGTCCTTGGAAAAATGTTCTTACACAAAATCACAGCGGTGCAAAAAAGGTTGAGAACCCCTGACGTAAAGGAGGAATCGTCCAAGGATCTCAACAAAGTGATAGACAGTATTCCCAGGGAGGAGAGTGGTGATCTGAGCAGACCTGGTTGGACATTTTGCTGAAGGAAACAGAGGAGATGAGGAAGTGAGAGCAGGTTTGTTGTCAAAGACAGAAACCAGAAAGGTCAGATGGTGATGGACAGGAAGATGGAAACAACACCTGTTTCCAAAAGAGGGAGAGACATAGGATGACTTGTAAAAGTGGAGTCACTAGTATGCAGGTAGAATACTTTCTGCCATCTTTGCTTTGAAGTACAGAGATGGTCAGAAAGAACTTCACAGATTCTCTGTAGATTTATAAAGGACGTATGATCAAGTCCAAGGACAGTGTGTGGTGTATGAGGAAATCTGGAGTGGTAGAGAAGTATGTTAGACTGCTACAGGACATGTATGAGGACAGCAGGACATGTATGAGGACAGCAGGACATGCATGAGGACAGCAGGACATGTATGAGGACAGTAGGACATGTATGAGGACAGTAGGACATGCATGAGGACAGCAGGACATGTATGAGGACAACAGGACATGCATGAGGACAGCAGGACATGTATGAGGACAGCAGGACATGTATGAGGACAGCAGGACATGTATGAGGACAGTAGGACATGTATGAGGACAGCAGGACATGCATGAGGACAGCAGGACATGTATGAGGACAGCAGGACATGCATGAGGACAGCAGGACATGTATGAGGACAGCAGGACATGTATGAGGACAGTAGGACATGTATGAGGACAGTAGGACATGTATGAGGACAGTAGGACATGTATGAGGACAGCAGGACAGTGGTGAGATGTGCTGCAGGAGTGACAGATAGCTTCAAGGTGGAGGTGGGAGTGCATCAAGGATCAGCTCTGAGCCCCTTCTTCTTTGCTCTGGTGATGGACCAACAGATGAGGTCAGGCAAGAATCTCTGTGGACGATGATGTTTGCAGATGACATTGTGATCTGTGGTGAGAACAGGTGGAAGAGAACTTGGAGAGGTGGCGGTATGCACTTGAAAGAAGAGGAATGAAAGTCAGTCGTAGTAAGACAGAGTCCATGTGTGAATGAGAGGGAGGAGGTGGAACAGTGAGGCTACAAGGAGCAGAGGTCACAAAGGTGCAGGACTTCAAGGACTTTTGTTTTTGTTTTTGTTTTTGTTTGTTGTTTGCTGCACTTTGGCCATCCTTTTTTAATGCACTTTGTAAATAAATTTGATTTAGTTTATTGTGACAGTCAGAGTCTGTCAGTGTGGAGACTCAGCCATCCAGGACTTTTGAAATCCTTGGTGTTTAAAAACAGCACCTGAACTTGTGTTCTTTAGTTGAAGATTCTCATTTAGAGCTTTCTCATGTCCAAACTAGGGAGTGAGGAGACTCTCACTCCAAAAAGATCTCGCCAAATGATAAACAAAATGTCTTCAACTACAAAATAGAAGTACAGTTGCTTCGTTTTGAAACTAGTAGGAAAAGCAACAAAACATTTAGCTGTTTGCACAGAAAATAGGAAGATGCTGCCTAGCTCAGCCATCTTTCTTTCCTGCAGCTCATTACAGTTTTTTTGTTCTTTGTTTTAGTTTCAACAGAAATAAGGGAACCTCTTCAGCCTTCCAAAAAACCCAAGTTCCAACCCTTGGTGACCAAGGTATGTAACAATCATTGTACGCTCTTAAAGGCCCCTGATGGTGGTGGACATCTCAGCGTGACTCAAACAACTTGTAGTTTGTAATCAGTGTGAAAAAGTTGTACTTTGATTACACTAAAGACACAAACATGGTGGTAGATTGCAATGCACCCAAAAACTCCAGTTAAAACATATTTAAAATAGTTTCTGGATAACTCAATGATTGTCCTCCTTCAGTAGAGCAGTGGTTCCAACACTGGTCCTTGAGGAACACCATCCAGCATGTTTTAGTTGTTTTCCTGCTCCATCATGCCTGATCCAGTGATTTAATGACTTCCTCAAGTTCTGCAGGAGCTCACCCATCCAATCACATCAGGTGTGTCGGAGCAGGGAAGCAACTCAGACATCCAGGACGGTGTTCCTCCAGGACCACTGGTGAGAGGAGTAATGTGATGCATGATAAATAGGGCTGGACTATACGGTCAATACTTTTATCATGATATATTTCTAAAGTTCGGTCGATAACAAAATAATTCAGATATAGATATAAACAATATTAAAGCTTCAGAAAAACTGTACAAATAAATTAATGTTCACCTTTTATTTGTATTAAGCCTTCCAAGAAATTTTAAATCACCGTCAAATAAACACAAAACTCTCAACGTTGTCAGTATTAATAGTTTGAACTTGAAACCCCATAACCTAACCCTGCAGCAGACGTTCGCTGCGTCTTGGTGCAGCTGGGGGGGTTTCAGGGACACGATGGCTCAAACTTTATTCTGCCTCATCTTCTGACTCTCATCAGATTCTGTCTAGTGGAAACTCTCAGAAGGAACAAGTTGGATGTTCCCACCGCTAGTTAAAACCACTCCGTCACATTTTGCAGCAACTCAATGAAACCTGCAGTTCTTCAGATGTTAGAAAGACGAACCACGTCCACACCATTAAATCAGTCTTTCCTCTCATCACTTGTGTCTTCTGCTTCTCTTCACTTGTGAAACTGTTCAGTCACATTCTGACGGTCATGGACGCTCATTTTGAAGAGGAAACTTAACGCACGTTGGAGTCCTAGAACTGCTCCGCTCCAGGTGGCTGCATGTTGGAGCAGCTCTCTTACTTTCATTCTGAGATTTTGCTTTTGGAAACTTTAATTCCTCTTGTTCTGGATGTAAATCACATTTTCTGGATGATTGTTTCCTCTGGTATCAGATGCTGTGCAGCTGGAAGGATTTTTACTGAAACTTTTTTAGTTTTGGACATTTGTTATGATGCGTAACCATGGCAACAAGGCAGTTTTCTACAACCAACAGCAGCTGATTAACATCTCAAAAGATCAAATAATATCTCAACTACAGCCCCAAATCTCAAATGAGTTGAAAAGGATGTTCTGTGGATGCATTCTCATCTACCTGCCAGCTGTGCTCGAGTGCCTGACCACTGAGATCCTGGAACTAGCAGGAAACACGGCTCACGACAGCAGAAGGACAGGATCGTCCCTCAGCACCTACAGTTGGCTGTCCGCAGCGACGAGGAGCTCTGCAGACTGCTGGGAGGAGTGGCCATCGCTGTGGGAGGAGTTCTGCCCAGCATTCAGGCGGTCCTACAGTCCGGGGGAACCAAGAGGCCAGTCGAGTCTGGGTGGACGGATCGGACGGCATCTGCAGCCAGTTTCTTAGGATCCACTGTGGGATGGACCTTTACATGAGATCCTTCCTGTCTACAGCATCAGCATCTATAACATCTCTTAATGAAATGAGGATCACGAGTTACAACAACAAAATAATTTCCCTCTGGGATTAATAAAGTATTTTTGAATTGAATTGAATTGAATTGAGATTACCCTAGAGCTGTCATTTCTAACCCGATCCCAGAGCCCGGCCCCGCCCGACCTGGATTCGGACCAGGCCGGGCCATAATAATGTACGGGCCGAGTCTGTGTCAGGCTTTTGATTGCGTCAACGCACGCGACTGACGATCTAATTATATGGCAACATGGCTTGCCATACAATCACCAGCAGCGCGCTGACCGGCCTAAAAGAGGTAAAAAGTTCAGTTAAGCTTCAGATGGACTACTGCCAGTGATCCATCAGCCCAAATGGACGTTCGTTCAGCCGCTGCACTCAACTGATGTGCGCGGCCGACGACCCAGACCGGTGAGATCATAAAATATCTGTGAAATGTAAGCAGGGGCAGAGCAGGGTCTGTGTGTGAATAATGCAGGCAGGAGCAGGGATTAATGCGCTTTGACGGCCATGAAAGGACAAACACCCCTCAGCTCCGATCTTCTGCCCTAGCTTAGCCTGCTACCACTGACTCCTTCTGGGCTTGAGCTCTGTGCGTGGTGCACATCACCATGCACTTTCAATTCAGTTTACTGATACAGCGCCAAATCTCAACAAAGTTGTCTCAGGGACTTTACAGGAACATTCACATAGAAAAGCCAGTTAGTAGAGTTCTCTATCTAAGGAAGCAGCAGACGCGTTGAGTCTTCACTTCATGGCAGTCTCCCATCCCAAGACTCTTACGTAGCTATGTGTCGCAGCTTTTTCTGTTCGGGTGGAAGCGGCCGTTTCCACCCGAACAGAAAAATAAATACGTCAGTGAAACGCTGTAGTCATAGCGTAATGTTTATCAAAATATCACAAATGTACTTAAAACTCACCGTTATTGAATAAAAGTATGCAGTAGTCCTTCGTTTATCGCGGATGTTAGGGACCACGCCCCCCCGCCATAAGTGAAAAGCCGCGAAGTAGGGAGACAGTAATCACACTCATGACCTGTTACTCCCAATCTCCCTCCTTAAATAAACAGTTTAAATTTAAATACTGCAACATTTTAAATAAATAATTTGTTTATTTAAAATGTTGCAGTATTTAAATTAAATTGTAGAGAAGAGAAGAGCAGCAGGACATCACAGGATGTCACGCAGCTTCAGCTCTGCAGCACGGAGCACAAATGTTCTTCTTGATCAGTGACACTGAAACAACTGAACATAGAAGTTATAAAATAATTAAAAATAACTTTTAACACTTTTATATTTTGTGATTATGACGATTGTTATGATGTGACATACTTTGAATTTTAAGTTGGAAGACAAAAGTCGATCAGTGAATCTGGACAACAAAGGGTTAAAAAGCTGCAGCAGGAGAAATGTGTGGCAGAGAAGGAGATCAGCTGATCAGCTGCAGGAGGGAGCTTCCCCTGCACTTGTGGGCTGCACACATGGTGCAAAATCATTTAAAGTAATTTATTTTAAATAAACAACCCATGGCTCATCCGTCAATCAGCCAAGTGTGTCATGTCCAATGTTACTTTGAAAATCAGCGATATATCGAAGCTGCGATAAAACGAACCACGAAGTAGTGAGGAACTACTGTATCGTGATATATATCGATATTGAATTATTGTCCAGCCCTAACTGTAAATAAAATAACAGCAAGTAACAAAGTTAAGGCAGATGGGGAAAAGTTTATAAGATCATAAAAAGCCATATCCTACTCTTGATCTTGTACTTATCAGGTTACACTCTACAGTTTCACAGTAAATAGAATAACAGATGGACAAAACACTTTTGTATTAAAAAATGTCTTGTATGACAGTTTGAATAGAAATTAGTTTTAGAACATGCACCAAAGACAGATGTTGTGTTAATAATGTTTGTTGGTGATTTTTTTTTAATTAGTTCAGTTCACTTTATTTATATAAAGCCAAGTCACAAAAGAAGTCGTCTCTGAACATTGTACAAAAACATTTATATACTTTATTAAACTCAATTAGTCAAATATATAATATATATATACTAATATATATTAAGGAAGCCAGGCAGTAAAAGGAAAAACTTCCTTTTAACAGTTAGAAACCTCCAGCAGAAGCAGCCTCAGGACAAGCGTCCATCTGCTTCGAGCAGCTGAGGTTTGAGAGGACAGGAAGTAGAGACGGACACAGAATGACAGGTGCAGGTGCACTTTCTATAGGAGGAAACACAAAACACAAGTTACAATATAAATAAGTACAAATACAAACAGATTGAGCAGAGTAAGTAAAGACAGCAGCAGAGTGAAAAGTGTGGTCAGTTTGTCCTCCAGCAGTCTAAGCCTATAGCAGCAGAACTAAGGGACAGCTCAGGAAACCCAAGCCGACACTAACTATAGGATTTATCAAAAAGGAAAGTCTTAATCCCAGTCTTAAAACTGGACCATGTGTCAGTCTCACGGACAGAGATTGGAAGTTGGTTCCACAAGAGAGGAGCCTGAGAACTGAAAGATCTGCCTCCCATTCTGTTTTTGTAAACTCTAGGAACCACAAGTAAACCTGCAGTCTGAGAGCGAAGTGCTCTGTTAGGAAAATATGGAACAATAAGATATGTAATATAAGATGGAGCTAGGTTGTTGAGAGCTTTGTAGGTTAGAAGTAAGATTTTGAATTCTATTCTGGATTTGACAGGGAGCCAATGGAGAGAAGCTAAAACTGGAGAGATATGATCTCTCCCAGTAACTCCAGTTAAGACTCTGGCAGCAGCATTTTGGATCAACTGAACACGTTTTAAAGAAGTATTTGGACACCCAGATAATAAACCATTGCAATAGTCCAGTCTAGACGTGACAAATGCATGGACCAGTTTTTCTGCATCATCTTTAGATCAGATGTTTCTAATGTTAGTGATATTACGCAGGTGGAAGAAGGAGGTTCTAGTAACGTTTTTAATGTGGGGGATAAAAGACATGTCCTGATCAAAAATAACACCAAGATTTTTAACATTAGAGCTGGAGGACAGATTAATGCATCTAAGGAGGGAGAAAGACTGAAAAATTCATTCCTAAGGTGCTCAGGTCCAAAAACCAAAACCTCAGTCTTGTCTGTTCAACAGGAGAAAATTAAGGGTCATCCAGGTTTTTATGTCTTTAAGACATGCTTGTAGTCTAAGTAACATTGTTTTAAGTGTGAATAAATAAGAAGAAGTGAAGTTCTAATTCTTTTTTTGACTTGTGGTTGTTATTGAGATTTATTTTAGCAAAGGTCCTACAGTAAACTGGGAAATGAAAAGGAAGCAGTTGTAATATCATTAGATGCAAATTTAAATATTTATCTGAAATCCATAAAATGCCTTTTTAATCCAGGAAATGAACTTTGTACCTTCATAGTTCCGTGTTCTTTTTATATTTCTTCATGCTCTTCCTTCACAAACAGAGCATGGACTCCTCAGATGAAGAGACTTTGCACATAGACACTGAGGCCAAGACTGAGACCAAAAGTCGTAACGCGAAAGTGAAGAAAAAGAACAGCAAAACTGCTGCGGGGATTCTGGACCTGCTGCAGGCCAGCAAGCAGGTGGGGGGGATCGACTACAGCACCGACAGGTAGGCCCGCTCACTCCAACACCTTCTCACTTCTACCACTGAAATACACGCGCAGTCTTTCAATGGCGCGCATGAGGTCTTCTTTTTTGTTCCCTGTTTTTGGAAATACCCTCTCTCCGTTTGTCCGTCCTTTGCGTGTTGTGATCATGATAACTAGGAAAAAACAAGTGAGGTATCAACTTCCATTTTGGCGTGGGGCTACATCTAGATGTAAGAAAGACTCCTTTCAAAAATTAGGTCACCATGTCAAAATCCAAAATGGCTGCCACCATGACTATGTTAAACGCGTGAGCTGGATAATTAAAACAATTATCAACATGTCAACTTGTACTTTGTGTGTGGCTGCATCTAGGTGTAAGAAAGTCACTATCAGAAATTGGGTTGCCACTTCAAACTCCAACATGGTCACTGCCATCAAGGTTCATGCTCAATAATCCAGGCAGAAAAATCCAACAGAGTTAAGTTAGGTCCTCTGGACGGGGGAGAGGGCGGACTCCAGAAACTATCTTGGCACCATCAAACTGGTCGATCCACTTTGTGAAGGTTCTACTGTATTTACAAGACTGAGTTTGTTGTGGCTCCTCAGACTGATGAAGACTTTTGGATGAAAGATGAAACGTTTCAACAAGAAGAATCAGTCCAGACGACCGGACTGAACTTTGTTGGATTGTATACCTGGATTATTGAGCATGGACTTTTTTGGTTTTGAACCAGTTTGACATGACTGTCGACGAAGAAGAGGGCCGGCACCAGAAGAGGGGGCGTGCCAAAGACACCATCTTAGCACCAACATAACTGGTTTGTTCCACTTTGGAATAAACTGTTGGGAGACGAATCAGTTTTGTGTTGTGTGTTTCCTTGACTGATGAAGCCTTCTGGATGGAAGGTGAAACGTTTCAGCACAAAAAAGAAACTGTCCAGATGACCTGACTGAAAAATGTTGGATTGTATACCTGGATTATTGAGCATGGACTTTGTTGGTTTTATGTTTTTAGACATGATGTTGATGACATTCATAACGACATAATGTTTTAAAACATTAAGGCTTACTTGCATTCTATGTTCAGTTCCTGTTCAGAACAACACTTATCTCGAAAACTACAAACAGTCACTATTCAAATCCCTCAGCAATGGAGGACGTCAGCGTATCCCTTGTTTTCTTAGTACCGCAAATTCCGCCGTACACGTCGCACCGCCCTATAAGTCGCATCAGTCCAAATATGTCTCATAAAGAGGAAAAATCCATAAATATGTCTCTTTGCCGTATACGTCGCATCTATTATGTGTCACTGTTGACATGTCACATTTGGTACATGTCACCGCTGACAACCCGGAAATGTGGGCCGGTGTTCTGACAGAAATCAATTGGCTGCCAAATGGTGGCCGATGGAACGTGCATGACTTTAACAAGAACTTAACAAGATTACCACTTAAAAACAATTATTTGTTTGCTCAAAATTATAGTAAAGGTGTGTCTCAGTCTAACTTTTGCTTAATAAATGCACTTTTCACTAGGGATGGGGCCGATCCGATCCAGCATCGGTATCGGCCTCCAATACAGCATAATTTACGTATCGGATTTTTCCGATCCATGATGCATGTCTGTGTCTGATGACCTGCTCTGCACGTTGGCTTCAAACTATGGAATGGATTTCCTGAACGACGGCGTGTCTCATGAACCCAGAGTAACAAGACCCGCCTCACATTCAGGAAATCCAGTTCATAGTTTGCAGCAGCTACAACGTGAGTAAATACTCTGCTGAGGGCTGAGCAGCACTGTGGCTAACGACTAACCAACTTTTCATCGTAACATGTCCGCTGTGTGGAAGAATTTTACACTAAACATCGCAAGAGAGCAACGTTCAACGCCTGCAGAGCCGCTGTACTGAGAGGAGGAAGCTCGGTCGCGACCTACAATACAACAAACTTAATAAACATTTGAAAAAGCACCACATTAAAGCGCACGAGGATTGTTTAGCCAGGCACCGCGGTAAAGTTAGTTTTATGTTGGACGTTCGAGCTCCGTGGCTTCAGCGGTGTGTTCCTCTCGTTCAGTCCGAAGCAGGCAGACTGATTTCAGTCTGTCCGTCTGGGAGGAGCAGACTGAACTCAGACTGTCTGCTTCACAGCTTGATTGAATATTTACATCTAAATTATAGGTTACATTTTACATTTACATCAACATGGCACTCTGCACTAACAACGTCTTGACTGTGTCATGCTGGTTAGATGAGCTGCTGCTGAGAAAGATGGGCTCAAGAAGAAAACAACAAGAGAAATTATTAATCATCAGAACATGGAAATGGTTTGACATATAGATTTTAATTCAATATTTAAAATGCTATTCTAAACAACAGTGTTGGAAGATGTCAGGGATGTTACATTAATGAAGTAAACATTTTAATGTTACAGCACTGACAGGCAGCAGCAGTGTAGAGTTTAGCTACTTGTTAGCTGCTAGCTAGCTTACTTTACAATCGGAGGCTGTTTCCTTACACAGTTATATTGCGCTATATCTTGTAATATAACCTCTGTAAATAAAGGTTGGATGAATGAAACTCCATGAAGTTTCCAGACAGGTCTCCCGAGGGAGAATAGACCCGGAATTACTGATCCACAGCGTCGAGTCAGAACAGAAGTTGTCTGACGTCATGTGAAAAGGGTCTAGTGAGCTGGATGAAGGTGCCAGGCTATGGCAAGCCGATTTTGTCATTAATAGCCACTTTTACCTATTACATGACACAACGGCATGCCATACTCCTGGAGTGCCATCCAGTGGCTGAAAATGGTAGTGTTCAATCTTTTCAGTCAGAATGAAAACGGTCATATCTCAGCCAGAAACTGATTTATAAAAATGGGGAAGAAACAGAGAACGTCGCTTCGGTGTATAAGTCACAGGACATGCAAATTATGCAACTAAACCGCAACTTATGAGGTGAAAAATATGGTAAATGAATTTATGTTCTCTTTAATGAGTTTAGTCAGTGGCAAACTGCGCCACCATGCTGCCAGACTAAAAGATTGAAAAAGGTAAATTTGATAACTCAAAGTAAAATACACCGTCAGTGAGTAACTGAGTTTACAAGTCTTCTGTCAGCAGTTCATGTTTGGTCGTGCACTAACCAAGCAGACCCTGTGTCTGTGGACTCGTCTTTTTGCCTCTTGCTTTTTGATGGTTTCCTTCATTTCTTGGACAATTTGTTTCTGTCTCCCAGTGTGTTGTCGTCCATTGAACGCGTTGTTATTCTGTGAATGTTTCTGAAGCATTCACACTATTGTGATCCATTTTTCTTCCGTACATTTTTGGCACATTTCTTGTCCCGCAGTTTTCAAACTATTTCAACAATCATCAAAATGTTGATCTCTTTCGGGACAATCCTGCTGTGACTTTTGGTATCAGTGCAACTTTAGCTAGTTGACGTACAGTTTTAGCCTTTTCTGCCTTTTTTAAATGGAGCTCATTTTCCATCCTTCAGATGTTTAGATCTGTTTACAACCTGCCATTGTTCTGCTTCAGCTTCTTCCAGCTTCCTTCTGCAAATTTAAACTTTTTTCCAGCTACTTTCAGCTGTTTTTTTTTCCCCTGAAGAAAACAGAAACTCATTGTTGGATGTGTTTGAAACTCACAGAAAGTAATCATCAGATAAATGTCTAGAACTGATTAACGTTTGGAGCCATTTTGATTCAAGATCAGAGTCAGAGTTTCTTTATTTGTCATTCGCACCACATGTACCTCCACATGTACCTCCACATGTACCACCACATGTACCTCCACATGTACCACCACATGTACCACCACATGTACCACATGTACCTCCACATGTACCACCACATGTACCTCCACATGTACCACCACATGTACCTCCACATGTACCTCCACATGTACCACCACATGTACCTCCACATGTACCACATGTAGCTGAGAGCGAACCCCATCACATCGTATTGTCTAATCAATGTTTTTAATCGGCAGCAGCCTGGCAGTCCCAGTCAAAGTTTCTCCAGGAACTTCCTAGTTTCTACTTTTTTGTGCTCATTTCTGCTTCTTTCAGCATAATTGGGCAAACATGTTCTTTCTGCTTTTTTCTGCTAATTTAAGCTTTTCACCTTTTCAGCTAACTTGTTAGCATTTTTAGCTAATTTCAGCTGTTCTCAGATAAATTCAATTTTTTTGTGGTAATTTCTGGTACTTTCAGCCTAATTAACGTCTTTCTGATGATTGGGGACTGCCTTTTAAAAGGCAGACAACTTTTTTAATTCACCTCAGAAACGGGTTTCTTAACTTTATTTATTTATTTCTTATACACTTTCCATCAACTTTAATGCAGCCCGAACAGCAACGTGTACCCCACAAACGTTATATCCAAACGACCGTCTCGGCCCTGTGCTGTGTGCTGTTACTTTTATTGGCGTTTTGAGTTACCATGGCGACAAGGAGAATTCATAGAGGACCTGACTTAACTTTATTAGAGCACATAAAGTTGCACACAAGACCAAGTTTAACACGGTTTTTACCTAAACAGCTGTAACTACATCAATTTTCATCACATGCTAATATTAGATTTCAACTATGGCATGAAAAGCGGCAGGCCATATTCATACCTTCAAGGACTGTGAGACCTTTAGAATATTTGTGTTGTTGTCCTCTCTGTCAGCATTCTGACTGTTTCTTGTTGTACTTGCAGTCAGCCGCCTGCATCTCCCAGCACACAAGAGGCCATTCAGGGCATGCTGTCCATGGCAAACCTGTCATCTTCAGAGAGCCTACAACAGTCATGGAGCAACAATCAGTCCAAAAACAACAGCCAATCAAAGAACGGCTCACAGGCCTGCAAAAAGTCCAGCGGAGGAACGAGCAGCAGCAGTAGGCGGCCGACAAAACGTCTCCCAAAGAAGCCCAAGAAAAGCAGCAGCATGGAGAGTCTAGATTACGACGATGAGCAGGATCACATGGACGCCTGTTTCAAGGACTCAGATTATGGTAAATATAAAAAATTTAAAAACACATTCAAGGTGCTGCCAATTTATACTTAAAAACTGTGACACATCCGGACAAACCCTGAGCAGAGGGTCTCACATACCTAGAAGACACAATTAATCTTGCTCTACTCTGCAGTATTAAATACTTTTTAGTCCAAAACGTTTGGGTAAGTAAACGATCAAAAAAGAAGTTAAAATGCTGAAGACAGGGCCTGAAGGTTCTGTGGTGATAGATGTCCATGCATCACATGTTAGAGCCAGGATCATAGACATGTCTGGGTAGGATGCTTGAGCTAGAAGCGAGCGCTACGTCTGTTAGCATTTTAGCTAGCGCGTCTGTATTGTGCGCCGCAGAACAGTTGTCAACCAGGGGTGGAGGGGGCATGTTAGGATGAGCGATAGAAGTGGAGCGTGCTCTGCTCACACAAGGAGAGCTGTTGGTCAGGCTGCTTCTTATGCCGTGCTTTTTAAAATAGTTATTGAATCAACTGTTTACAAATGTAGGTGAACGTAGATGTTAAACAACTCGTTAAAATACACCAGAATGCAGGAAATGGCATCTACTTTATTCAAAAATTTCAAATCAACATCAAATAAGCAACAAGTTGTGTAGCTGCTTGACTTAAACACCACTGGGCTGTAACTTGCTTCATCAGCATCTTGCCAGAAGAGAAAGAAACGGTCCCTTAAACACATCTATCCTGTCCTATGGAAGTTTTTTGTTAGTTCTTACCAAACACTGTGAGGTGACGAACACACAAACTGAAAACAAGCGTTAAGGCCAGTCTAGTTTTATACTTCAGTGTGTCATCAATGAACATAGAAACAAAACATTCACAGGTGCTGATCACTTTTTCAATCCCATTCAGTTTATTTATGCAGTGCTAATTCACAGATCTGTCCAGAAACGCTCCCGTGCATCATAAACTGCCACGTAGAGACGTCAAAGCAACAAGACAGGACGTCTTCTTTTAGCTCTCATCAGAACTCGAGCAGCAGCCGTTTGAATCAACTGAAAACATTTTAGAGTTCGTTTTTGGACACCCACATAATAACGAATTAGCAAATGTTGTAATTTTAGTAATATTGCACAGGCTAGTGGTCCAGGTACTGTTTTTTTATGTGGGGGGTAAACAACCCGTCCTAATCAAAAATAACACCAGGGTTCTTTTAATAAAACTGAGGCCAGATAATGAGATCCAGAGGAAGCGGACGTTTGCTCCTAAGGTCCTCCGGTTCCAGTCCATTTCTCTGTCTTGTGTGAGTTTAAAAGCAGAAGCTTAAGATCATCCAGGTTTTTATATCTCTGAGACAGTCTTGTAATGTAAGTAACGATTTGATTCATCAGGTTTCATGGATAAATATAACGTCAGCTTAACGATGAAAATTTAACCTGTTCCATCAAAGATCTTTACCTAATGGAAGCATATATAACGTAAAGAGTACTGGTTCAAACACTGAGCCCAGAGGAACTTCACGACCAACTTTGCTGCATGAAGAAAATTCATGATTAACATATTTTTAAAACTGGAATCTTTCCGATAAATACAGTTTAGACCAGTTTTAGAGCTGTTTCTGTAATACAAACTCTCAGAATTCAGTGGACAGTAGTCCCTCGTTTATCACGGAGGATCCGTACGCTGAAGCCCCGCAATAAGTGAAAAACCACGACTTACGAATAGTAGTACAAAGTACATAAGTTGTAGTTTATTTTACTATTTATAGTAAATATATATATTATGGTGTTTTAACCCTTCCTACACTCTTGCAATATTCTAAACAATGTTTCTAAACTGTAAACGCTGTAAATAAATAAGAGTTCAGCATGTCATGAACTGCCATGACTGCGCTCTCAGCCACGCCCACTTCTCTGCTGCAGAACGGAAATCAGAGGGGGGAGGAGATCAGTGGGGGAGGAGATCAGTGGGGGGGGGGGGATGTGAGGGGGGGGGGAGCTTCAGGAGGAAGTTTCTCCTGCAGCTGTGGGCTGCACAAAGATGCAGCAGGTGCTAAACAATTAAAAAAATTCATTTAAAATAAAAATGCCATGCCGATCGTGCAGCTCATCCATCAGTCCGCCACTTGTGTGTCATGTTCAACCTTATTTTGAAAAACTGCGATAGAGCGCGTTCATGAAATACGAACCGCAAACCAACGAGGGACTACCGTCCTTCAAAACATCAGCTTGTTTTTCTCCTGTAGTTTTGAGTCTCAAGTTAGTTTCCAACAGCGAGACACTTTGTCTGAGGTCTTGTCCCGTCTTGCATAGCAGTTGTGCTAACTGTATTTGAATGCTAATGCTAATGCTAATGGCTTGATGTATCTGAGGTCAGCCGAGTTCTTGGGCGCACAAATGAGAGAATAATAATCTGCCATGTGAACTTGTCGCAGCTGCTCTTTGGGGCTGTTAAAAACAGTTTGATGGATCTGCTTGAGCTACTTTATTTCCTAACGCAGTCTGGAACGTTTCATTAGGAGCAGATGATTGGGTCTCGTCTTGTTTTCTGGGTATCCTTTCCAAATGTCCACCTCATGTTGCTGCAGTTTTTTAACTTCTTCCCAGTACAGTTGTTTGAACGCCATCATCTTGTTAATGAGCCGTTAACACAAGTTGTGAATCAGTTTCTGACTTGCTGTTTGAACTCTTCAGTCTGATTTGTCATGAATGTTCTTACACTTGAATTCCAAGCTTGAGATGCAGATCCTCTCACGAACTGGCACTTGTTCTGCTTTTGTAAAAAATTAATCGTAAACATCTACTTATCAGATAATTCAGTCTGGATTGAAATGGCTGTGCAGGAGGCATCTAACAGCTGTTCAACAGCTGTCTTGCAGGCTGCCACTGGAATCATTTTCCCTTTTAGATGATTGAAATAATGCCTAATATTCTCCGATGTAAGTAATCTCAGGCATGTTTGATTTTAGTTTATCCTTCTTTGGAGTCTGAAGAGGACAATCCTGTTTTCAAATCTAGATCGAAGAAACGGAAAAGCAGCGACGACACACCGTACAGCCCCACAGGTAAGCACCGTGCTGCTAAAGGAACGCTGTAGTTCATGAAAAGCCCTTCCAAAACCTGACATGTCCTTGCAGCTCGTGTTGGACCTTCAGTTCCTCGACAGGAGCGGCCGGCACGGGACGGGGCCCGCGTGGCCTCCATAGAAACAGGCCTAGCTGCTGCAGCAGCTAAACTTTCTCACCAGGTGCGTCCATCAACATTTCTTACTGAGGCTAAAAGGTTTTGTAGGTGACGATTGGTGCTTTATCTTGTAGGTGTAAAACTGTCTTGTTTCTTTTAGGGGTGCACCAATAAATCGGTCAATACCTGCATGAGAAACTGATTTTACCGATTTGTTTTAGTTTTAACAACAATTGTCTGAACTTGATTTATATTTCAGAGCTGAGAGCAATTCCCCATAAATACTGAATTCAAAATAAAATTCAAGCTCTAACTCGGGTATTTTTACACATACAGAGCTGACCTTTGGTTTAGTTGCAGCTGAGTGCGAACCCCAACACAGCACTGTCTAATCAAAAATGTAATATTTAAGTCAAGTCCAATTTGACTTGACAATACTGTACTTTTATTTAAATATGAACCAGACTTGATTGACTGGCTGCTTTAAAAATAAATCTGACGACTTCTCCGGCCGAGCTCCCGTGACGGAAGGGGCGGGGGAAGAACCCCTCCTGTTGTTCTCCACTGTGTTCAAATGTGAGTTTAAAATGAGATCCTGGTATTTAAACGCATATTTACCGACGCAGAAAGATGTCACACAGAAATCATTTAAAAACTTTTATTAAAACGTGTTCCAGACTTGATGCCCGACCATCGGCACGTTGATGCAAAGCTGACAGGCGACAGCTCTATTTCCTCCTTCGACAGCCGATCGCTTTTAACTTGAAAACTGCATCATAAGAAATTCTCTGTGCGTTTTCCATTATCACTGAACAAATGAACAGGTCTGTGCATGAATCGCAAAGTACAGTAATGATATGGGAACTTTCTGAAGAAATGAGTGCACGTCTATCTCGGGGGGTGATCCTGGAGAGTACCTCATTGGTCATTCAGGTTAGACTTCTGGTCACATGATGACAGTGGGTGGAGTTATGGTTGGGAATTTGAACCCTGAGCAAGAGTCGTTGAACATGTGGATACCTGAGGGCATTCACTCTGCGTCTCAAATACCTGCCCCCAAGAGGAGCGGGTGCTGGGAGCCACGAGCGTCCAGCTCTGTCATAGAAAATGTTAGTCAGTGGCAGGAAGTCTGTCAAAATAAAATATAATTATTGAAAATTATATAAATAAGATGCTCCTGCATGTAAACCATGGGGTACAAAGTGTGAGAAAAAGATAGTGTTGTGTACACTGGTAATTTTACTTTGAAATTGAAGGTGTTTTGTAAAAATGGTAAATTTATATTGACATTGATCAGTTTATAACAGCTATAAAAGCATAAAACATCCAAAGAGGTGGATACTTTTTGAAGGCATTGTATCACAGCACTGGTTTGTTTGTTTCCATTAAGGACGTTAGACTCCGATGGCTGATGGTCGGTATATTCAAGATCAAGGGTCAAGGTGTCTTTATTGTCAATCACACCACATGTGGTACATGTGGTGGAACGAAACTATGCACACAGGATCCCAGTTACATCCGACAAAAATACAAATTGTAAAGAAAAACAGTAGTAAGATCTAAAATATGAACTAAGAAATATGCTTAACTAAGAATACACTAATAGTACAAAACAATGTGCCAAACAACAGCAGCACGAACATGAGTACATGGACTGTACTTATATAGCACCTTTCTATCTTATTTCAAGATACACAAAGCTCTTTACATTACAATCTGTGTCCTTATTTACCCATTCATACAGCTCTATACTAGATCACTACAAAGCTAATTAAATCATTCTAAAGAGACTAATCAGAGCTTTTAGATCACATTCATACACTGATGGGACACACATCGGAGGCTATGAGGGGTTCAGTGTCTTGTCTTCAGTGTCCAGGGACACTTCGACAAGTGACTGCTGGTGGATTCGAACCCCCAACTCTCGCATTGGAGGACGACTGCTCTAACCACTCAGCCACAGCCGCCCCTGTGAATCTGTGTGAGCAGATGAGGACGAATGAACACAGCAACATGAAATAAATCAGCAGCCTGAGATCAGTATCATGCATAGTCAGCAGCACATATCAGCAATCAAGTGGCATTACAGTGATTTTTCACAGTGTTTTTTTCGCAGTGACAGTCCTGTCTAGGGATTCATGAGTCTAACAGCCTCAGGGTAGAAGCTGTTCCTCAGTCTAGTGGTTCTACACTTAATGCTCCTCAACCTCCTTCCTGAGGGGAGCAGGGCAACAAGTGTGTGCTGGGTGAGTGTGGTCCTTCATGATGCAGGTGGCTCTCTTCCTGCATCTGAAGGTGTAGATGTCTGTGATGGTGGGGAGGCTGACTCCAAACATCTTCTGTGCAGCCTTCACCACTCTCTGCAAAGCTTTTCTTTCTGCAGCTGTGCAGCCTCCATGCCACATGTTGATGCTGGAGCACAGGATGCTCTCCACTGCACACCTGTAGAAGGAGGTGAGGACTGAGCTTCCCAGTCCAGCTCATCTCAGCCGCCTGAGGAAGTAGAGTCTCTGATGAGCTTTCTTGATCAGGCTGGTGGTGTTGTTGCCCCAGCTGAGGTTGTTGTTCAGGTGCACACCCAAGTACTTGTAGCTGGAGACCACTTCCACCACAGAGCCTCCTTCCTATATTCAGAGGGGAGTAGGTGTGTTTGTTCCTTCTGAAGTCCACAACCATCTCCTTCCTCATCTTTACATTGATTTAAAGGTTGTTCTTCCCACACCAACTCTCCAGGTGTTCCACCTCCTGCCTGTAGCTGGACTCATCGTTGTTTGTGATGCATCCCACCACCGCTGTATTGGCTGCAAACTTTACGATATGACAGCCTGGATGTGTCGGTGTGCAGTCATACGTTAGCAGAGTGAACAGGAGGGGGCTCAACACACAGCCCTGGGGGGAGCCAGTGCTGAGGGTTATGATGGAGGAGGAGAAGTCGAGGATCCTCACAGACTGTGGTCTGTTGGTTAAGAAGTCTAGGACCCAGTTGCATAGAGAGGGGCTTAGTCCTAGTGTGAGTAGTTTGTCCATCAGGGTCTGGGGAATCATGGTGTTGAAGGCAGATGTGAAGTCCACAAAGAGCATGCGTACGTAAGACTCATTCTGCTCCAAGAGGGTGAGAACAGTGTGGACCACAGAAGAGATGGTGTCCTCTGTTGATCTATTCTTGCGGTATGCATACTGATGATGGTCCTCGCTGATGTTGATGTTAGCTTTGATGTTGGTCATGACCAGTTTTTCAAAGCATTTAGCAACTATCGGGGTGAGGGCTACCGGCCAATAGTCACTGTAGGGCTCTTTGGAACTGGGATAACGATGGCAGTCTTGAGGCAGGTGGGAACCGTTGCCAGGATAAAGGAGGAGTTAAATATGTCAGCCAGCACCTCACAGAGTTGATCGGCACTCCTTCAGCACCTTCCCCGGGGATGTTGTCTGGGCCAGTTGCCTTGTGAGGATTAATCCTCCTGAAAGTACTACCTACTTCTGCTGAGGTCACACTGAGGAACTCTTCTTCTGGTGATGAGGTGAGTCTGGTGCTGAGTGGTCTGTTCGGGTCCTCAAAGCGTGCATAGAACCAGTTGAGAGCATCAGGCACTGATAGATCCCTAGGGCATTGTGCACCTCTGACTTGATAATCTATTATGCACTTAATGCCCTTCCACATGTTCTGTGGGTATTGTGAGAAGTGGTGTCCCTGGATCTTCTATGCATATGCTGCTTTGGCCCTTTTAATACCAGCACCCAGCTCTAACCTTGTCCTCCTCAGCTCCTGTGAATTGCCAGACCTGAAGGCAGAGTCCCTGGCTTCCAGCAGGGTGCAAACCTCTGCATTCAGCCAGGGCTTTTGGTTCGGATAGCTCTTCACGTTCCTGAAGTTGGTGACATCATCAGCACACTTACTAATGTAACACAGAACTGAGGATGTGTGTTCCTCCAAGTCTATCGTTCCCTCTTTTACAGCAGCCTCCCTGAAGATCTGCCAGTCTGTGCATTCAAAGTAGTCTTTCAATATAGAGTCACTGTTTCTCACCCATATTCATCAAATTGCTTGATCTTACTGTGTGATGCTGAAGCCATACGTTGTGTTTCAATAGGAGGAGCAGCAGAAAACTAAGAAGAAAAAGAAAAGCACCAAAAAGAAAGCAATAGTGACAGTGGAGCCATCAAAAATCTCTCAGGACAGCAGCTCACCGGATGTGGACTCCCAGGATGGCAGTCTGACAGACAATGAGGTCAACACAGGAACTGTTAAGTCTCCAGGAGGACCACGGGCAATGGCACCGGGGATCTTCCTCAGCCAGAAGCGTCCATCCATGTCCTCTTCCAACAACAGCACTAACTCCTTAAGCACTAACAACAGCAGCATGACCAAGGGGGACCGCATGGGGTCAGCAGATGCCAAAGGTGAGCACCAAATCATAGACTGAGATTTTCCTTGACATGCTGTAGAGAAAAGTAGTATAACAAAAAGCACCAAGTGTCAATTTTTCATGCTCAGCTGTACTTTATGTAAGCTGTATAAAACTCGATGAATGTTTTTTATTGTCTTTCATGAAACCTGATCTATAGTAATAAGGTCTCTTCCACACTGGATGATGTCCCCGCCAAGTTCTCCAAGACCTGTCTGTACATAGGTGGATACCAGCAAATTTAGAAGACCCCATTTAGTGTGAAGGAAATCATATTACTTTTACACACTTAGTTCTCAACAGTTGGGCTTTTCCTGCTATTTTTCACATCACCGAGATGCCCGCTTGCACCTGCACCACACTTTATACATCAGCTGCATGTTTCAAACAATGAAAGAAATCATATGAGCTCACGATTACACCATAACCCAGACCTTTACTCACTCACTTAACCCTTTAGACCAGCTGTATTCCAGATCGCATCACACAATCACAAAGCTTAAGTTAAGGAAATTCTGGTAAAGGCTCTAGGTAGTAAGAAAAAGCTTCCTAATGACATGGCTACCACACCAACAGTTATTAGAGAGACAGGTAAGAAGGTACTTTGGTGTGTCATCTGGACAAAGAAAAGAAAACAACCTGGTTATTGAAGTCCAGGAATTTATCCAGTGGAAGAGGTTAGTCAAAACGACACGATAGTGAGAGGGCCGAGGACATTAGACAGGAATATAAGACATGCAAGACCAACTATTCAATTCAGTGTATTTAGATAGTGCCAAGTCACACCAGAACTTGTCTCAGTGCACTGTGCAAAAACATTCACATACATACAAAAGCCAATTAGTAAAAGTTCTTTATCTAAGGAAGCCTGCAGATTGTGTTGAATCTTCACTTCGTCGCAGTCTCCCATCTTGAGCGAGCACAAAGGCGACAGTGGAAATGAAAAACTCCCTCATGAGGAAGAAACCTTTAGCAGAACCAGGCTCAGGACAAGAAGACCATCTGCTTCGACCGGCTGGGTTTGAGAGGAACAGATACACAATGGCAGGTCAAGAATCACATGTTAAGATAGAAATAGTACCATATGAAACAAACACAGAATGACCGGTCCAGGTGCACTTTCTATTGGAGGAAAGACAAAAAACACATGCTAAGGATAGAAATAATTACAAATATAAAACAGGTAGTGTAGAGCAAGTAAAGACAGCAGCGGAGTGAGGAAATGAGGTACATGTGTCCTCCAGCTGTCTAAGCATATAGCAGCATAACTAAGGGATAGCTCTGAAAACCCAAACCATCCCTAACTTGGATAATCAATCAATCAATCAACCTTTATTTATACAGATAAATCAGATAAGGGAGAGGGACAGAGCATCTTTGTTTCCACAACACCCAAACACCCAAGGAGAAGTTTGAGCTGGTCCGCCTTCCAAGGCCAGGTGCAGATTTAGATATCAACATTGTTTGGGGTCAGGCTGGACTCATAAGTTTTCGTGCCTGCCATAACAGTCTCTCTAGTACATTCTCTCATGGCGGCTCCAAACAGCCACATTTGATAACTTACGTCAAGTCAAGCTTACAACTTCTCCAAGATTTATTCCTTCCAATCGTTCGTGGACACTGCCAGGAAAGTTCGGATGCAGCGCCACATAGTTCGCACATAGTCTTGAGTGTTGCCAAGCTCGACACATCCTCCACATTCCAGGCAGCTTTAATCAGCTGCTGAGGTTTATTTGTCCAAATTTGTTGACAATCCAGAGTTCAACTAACTCCAAACAGTAAAATCCAGTTATCTTGGATCCAATTATGTTTCCATCGAGGTAAGAGGGTCCTCCTTCACCCTGACTACCTGTTGAGAAAAATGTATCAGTTCTGTTGAAAGACCAGCTGATCAAATCCATCGTTAACAATTCGTAAGGTTTGCAAAAAAGGGGCTCTGAAAAAGGTTCACAAAACAAAGAGCAAAGCAGGATATAGGATTTATCAGAAAGGAAAGTCTTAATCCCAGTCTTAAACTGGACAATGTGTCGGCCTCATGGACAGAAACTGGAAGTTGGTTCCACAAGAGAGGAGCCTGAGAACTGAAAGATCTTCCTCCATTCTGTTTTTGGAAATTCTAGGAAGCACAAGTAAACCTGCAGTCTGAGAGTGAAGTGCTCTGTTAGTAAAATATGGAACAATAAGATCTGTAATATAAGATGGAGCTAGGTTGTTGAGGGCTTTGTAGGTTAGAAGTAAGATTTTGAATTCAGTTCTGGATTTGACAGGGAGCCAATGGAGAGAAGCTAAAACTGGAGAGATATGATCTCTCCCAGTAACTGTCATTGAAAACAGCATAGCACTACTGTTCACACACACCTCTGGAACTGTAGAGGGTGATTAACGTCCAAGCAAGTAATGGGCAGAGAGAAGGGTGCAGGAAATATTCATTGTATTCTGTCACTGAAGAAGCAGCAACAGTTGCACGTGTCGAGCGTTGCTGCGACCCAACGTCTCAACTTCTCTCGTCTGTTTTCCCCACAGCCAAGCGGCTAAAGAAAGGCATGGCAACAGCTAAACAGAGACTCGGCAAGATCTTAAAGATCCATCGAAACGGGAAGCTGCTCTTGTAGCCTCAGACTGTGGAGGGACGGGAACTTCTGGACACCCTCCCCCCACCCCCAAAAACCAGAGCCACTGAGAAACAGCAACAATGAGGAGGGTTCGAGACTAAAGCTGTAATGAACTGAGCAGAAAGTCATGCGTTATTCATTTTTCAATAACATCACCGAAATAGGTTTTTGCCTCTACTTAGACTTTATAACTTTCAGATATAAAAATGTACAGAAGCTATTATAAATATTTTTTAAAAGAACATGTTCATTTTACTACAGCTGTCGTTTTAGCAGGGGTTGATAAAAAAAGAAATAGAAGTGCATTGCAGTCATTCCAAGTTTTTGTGAAAGTATCCCTTGCATGTTTTGTGTTAATTTGCATGTGCACTTGAGTCAATGTTGGGGGGGTGGGGGGGTGTTTTTAAACCAGCGTCTCACCCGGCTGCAACTGTAGGAGACTAGTTGTTGAACAGTGATGCTCTTCAGAATGTACCATAAATAATGACTAAAATCTTCTGAGCAAACGTTGAAGGGTGCCAACAACACATCTGCCCTGAACTAAACCGTAACTTCAAACAGCCAGGATTAGAAAAACATGCAGATGTTTTAATATTTGAACTGTAAATGCTAAATGGACTGCACCTTTCTCTCTAATCAAGATACTCAAAGTGCTTTTGAAAGAGAACCAAGTCCAACATTGTTTAAACCTATGATCGACATGGTAAGCACACGCTGTTATATGTCTTTGTTACACTTAAAATACATTTAAAGTTACTATAACACCAGTTCAGTCATGTAAAGTCCAACTTTCTGTGATGATTTGATGTTTTTCACCTTTTGTTTGTTTGAACTGAAGTGTGGCTCGGCTGTACGGCTCCACACATGTTGGGTTTTCTCATGCGTTTCACCAAAATCTCATTAATATCCATGTTTTATTGTTTGCAGTTTTGTTTGTACGTTTTTCTCTACCGTAATTTCCAGACTATTGACTGCACCTGAATATAAGCCACACCCACTGAATAATAAATAACTTGTGCATATATAATCCGCACTTGTCTGCAAGCCTGGGATGTCCACGTTGTAACGTGAGCTACTTACGCTGAAAGCTTTTTTAAACGTTTCATTAAGTGCATGGCAGTAACCTGCACAAATACAGTAAACGCTTTTGAATCTGAACCGTTCTGGGAACACGGCTGCTTAGAAACATTCCACGGCAGTCACCTTCCAGGAAGTCATTGATTGATATCTTTACACTGCTCCTCTGTCAGGACCCACAGGCAGACGAGCACGTTGCTCTGCGCATGTGCCCCCCCGAGCTCAGAGTGCCATTTTATGCACGATTCACTCATTTCCAGTGGCTGTACATCCGTCATTGAGCCCCTAGAGGAAGGGGGAGACCAAGTTTCCCTCATCCCTGGAGGCTCAAAGGGGAGGGGGGCGAGACCTTGTCCACCCCCACCCCCGTTCTCTCCTCCCCCCATTTCATTGGTCCACTGTGACCTGTTCAGTAATTTCACTGGTCAGATTTGTTTACCTTTATTTATACAGGTAGTCTCATTGAACGACAAGGACCCCCCCCCAGAGAGACGTGTGTTGGGCAGCTCTGTGAGCGCCGGGTGTGACGAGGCTAAACGTTTTGGTGGCATGAAGCTCGTCAGCCCATCAAAAATAAAAATCCATAAATTAGCCGCAGCGTTGTGTAAGCCGCGGCGCTCAAAGCGTGAAACCAGCAGCAGATTATAATCTGGAAATTACGGTGCATTGACTCAATACGACCAGCCTTTGTCTTATCTAGTTGCATGTTTTGCTCTATAATTGTCTTTAGGTCGTTCAAGAAGATTGTGAGCACAACGCTTGAACACGATGATGACAGATTCTGTGGCGCTTACCCGTTGAGATTTTATCAGATTACGTTGTAAACATGGAGGCAGTTTGTATAGTGGGTACAAAGTGGGCCGAGCCCAGAACCATGAGCAGGGAAGAGCAAACATCATGCGCATGTCCTGGAATGCTCTTTTACCAGCTGTGCACACTAACAAACAAGAACTAATAATCTTCTGTGATCCCACACAGCTTGAGTGTCACACAAAATGTGCCTGTTCTCCTAATCTCATCAAGTGATGAGTTTCTGACTGGTCTCCAGCAGCAGCAGCCCAGTGAGTCTCTGGTTTTACTTCTGGATGCAGCTTATCGTGCTACATGAGGGGAAACGAGCATCTTCCTGCTTCCAAACCAGTTTTTAAAGCGTCGCCTTGATCGGCATCAAGCGTTTCTTTATAACACTTGTTGTTTGCAGTGCACTGTGAGTGCACGTGTTCATTGTTGCCAAGTGATTAATAGGAATTAAAGAAGCACTATAAAGCACAACGTTTTGATATTTTCCACCAAACATAGGACGCCACGCGGCGGTGGAACAGATGGACTCTGCAGGGACATGTATGTGATGATAAGCTTGGTCCAGGTGTGGCGTTCCACAGGGATACGTTCCAGCTTCTCTTGGTTTCCCAGGCAGCACCAACTCCTGCTCATCCTGGGTTGGTTTCATTTATACAATGTAGCTTTTCGCTTCAAACCTTTTCTATCCTTTAAGGCTTAATCCCACATTTTTACACATTTTGCTATATCTGAATAAATTTATTTTAAGAATATTTCTCTTTGTACATTTGATTTATGGTATAGTCCTAATTTTGAACCTTTATTTATGTCATAAATTTGAAGGTGCTGCCCTGAAAACAACTGAAGAACTCGTTTATTTGGCCTTATGTACACAAAGCTAACTGTTAGGATTTAGTTTGGATAAGAGGTAAAGCTTTGAGGAAAAACTATAAAATAAAAAAAACAAAGTTTCTATGACCAGCCACTTGTTTAACCTTCAAGCTGTCAGCTTTCTTCTTTTACTAGCACCTTGTGAAGTGTTCATGTGTCAGTGATGTAATTTATTAATGTTTGTAGCCTTTTTATACTTGTACAATTCCTAAGAGTTTTGCTTTTAAATATGTCATCAAATTGTAAAATAACCCTTTAATTTTTTGCGGGGGCGTGTGTATTGGGGAGGCATCACGAACATCATGAATTTAGCATAAATGACGTGTATTTCTTTGTTTACAGAGATTGTTGGTGTGCTCACGTCTCCATCTTGTTGTGGCTGTTTCAGTTCGGCCATTTGTTCATGTTGTACGTCGCCACTCCAGCTCAGTCACTACAATCTTTATTTGAAGTTTTCATTTGTCCTGTTTGTGTGTCGTGGTTTCATTTTGAACGTGTGACTCATTAAAGTGCGAGGCGGCAGTGGATGGTACCTGTTGGAGCAGCTTCCCGTAGTGTTACTTACAGTATTACTAAGAAGTTACTGCTGTTTTTCACCCAAATCTCTATATTTTTTGTATTTAGAAGACTTTGTTTGGGGTCATGATTCACTTTTCTAAGACATGAAGAAATGTGAAACTTGAGGAACATCCATATTATTGTTGAATGATATGATTGTCTGTCTTGTTTCATTTTGAATACATTTATTGTGGAAAACCTTCTCTGATGTCTTCCACTTCTTCATAACTTCATAAAATTTATTTCCTCTCAGCATTTGTTGCTATTAAAAGTTTTGATTTGTTTCCTGCTTCATCTGGTGCCATGTAGTGAAAACCAGAAGACTTTTTCTTTCATCCTGAAGTCCAGAAATAAAAAATGTCATCAGCCGTTAAACTTCCAGTACTTGGAGGTCTTCAGCACTTTTGGTTCTGTTTTAAAAACCAGGACATGAAAAAAAATCCCTTGTATTTGTAGAATGAGTGCGTCTCACCAGACACTTCCTGTAAGTCAGGTCCTCTGGATGATTCTTGTTGAAATGTTTCATCTTTCATCCAAAGGACTTCTTCAGTCTGAGCAGCTGCAACAGTCTCAGTCTTATAAACAGCACCTTCTCATGGTGGATCAACCAGTTTGTTGTTGACGTCCAGAACCAGCTGTTCACATGATCAAGGAGGACAACAAGTTCATGCTCAATCATCCACATATCAAATCCAGTAATTCTCAGTCGGGTCAGTTGGACAGTTTATTTTTATAGAGACGTTTCGCCCTCTATCCGGAGGGCTTCATCAGTCAGAGGAGTTCCAGTAAACTGTTTCTCCACCGAGCAGTAAACTCCTTAAGTGGACCAACCAGTTTGCTGGAGCCAAGATGGTTTCTGGGGGCCGTCCTGTTCCCCGTCGACTCCTCCCAGGCAGCCAAAGTGGTTTTACTGCTTGGTGGGGAAACAGTTTACTGGAACTCCTCAGACTGATGAAGCCCTCTGGATAGAGGGCGAAACATCTCTATAAAAAAGAAACTGTTCAGATGACCCGACAGAATTACTGGATAAAAGAGGACCATCAGCCTAATGACTGATCGTTAGTGCTGTGACGGCCGCTTGCTATTCACAGGGGCAGAGTGATACTAGCAACAACAGTATTGTAAGAGGGGGACAGTTGGACACGAGGGCCCCCTGTTCAAAGATGGACCGTTTCTCTTCACAAAGATGGACCGTTACTCTCTGTGAAGAGCGACCGTCCATCGTTAAACGGGAGAGGCTTCGGTGTCTGACGGTGTCAAAGCCCAGGAGAAGTCAAAGAGCACGACTCGTACGGCGCTGCCTGCCCTGTCCAGGTGCACGTACACTGCAACAGGTAGATGATGCTGTCGTCAACTCCCGATGCGTGGCTGGTATGCAAACTGCAGGGGGTCCAGGTACGGTTCCACGTGTGATGTCAGGGCCACAGGTCTGGAGCCAGTGTTCGGGCCCCTGGTGTTTTCCACAGAGCAGGGACCACTCTCAGGGGAAATGTGCTGAAAAACATCACACGGCTGAGCTGCACCAACTTTCAGGAGTTTGGGGCTCAGCCCTTCTGGACCTGCAGACTTGCTGAATGTGGACAGCTGAGCTCCATCCTCAGCCTCCCTGCTCATGGTGTCGGAGGCTCTGATGTGTTTTGGGAAATACAGGCTCAATTAAACATTTGGGGATTAATAGAGTACAATAAAATATGGCAGAGCAGAAGTAAGAATTGCTGCTTCACAGAAACAGGGTTTCATGTTCACAACTAATCTTTAGCATGAACTTTTCTGGGTGGAGTTTCATGTTCTCTCCGTGCTGCGTGGGTTTTCTCCTGGTACTCCAGTTTCCTCCCACAGACCAAAAACATGCATGTTAGACTGACTGGTGACTCTAAACTGTCCCTAGGTGAGAGAGAGAGTGGCTGTTTGTCTCGTTCGTCTCCATGTGTCCCTGTGATGACTGGAGACCTGTCCAGGTGTCCCTGTGATGGACTGGAGACCTGTCCATGTGTCCCTGTGATGGACTGGAGACCTGTCCAGGTGTCCCTGTGATGGACTGGAGACCTGTCCAGATGTCCCTGTGATGGACTGGAGACCTGTCCAGGTGTCCCTTAGATGGACTGGAGACCTGTCCAGGTGTCCCTGTGATGGACTGGAGACCTGTCCAGGTGTCCCTGTGATGGACTGGAGACCTGTCCAGGTGTCCCCCACCTCTCACAGTGACTGCTGGATATGAGCTCCAGCTCCCTACAAGGAAAGCTTGGTAAAGAAACTTGATGAAGAGATCTGACTGAAGATCTGACTGAAGATCTGACTGAAGATCTGACTGAAGAAGTCCCACTATGACAAAGTGCAGCAAAAGGTTTGAATCGTAACACCTGGACCTTGAGTCACAAGGAACTCATTATACAGTTTGATGGTCGACAGGATTCAAGTCTCAAATTTATGATTTTAGGTTCTTAAAAGTGGAAACCTTAAAGGCTGTGGCCACTAGATGGAGTCAAAGAAATATCTGAATAAAGTTGGAAATAATTTATTTCCCAAACAAAACAAAAATGCAAAATTCATTAGTGGAGTTTTGTTTCTTCAGCAACATCGTTGTACACACATTAGATGTTGATGTTCTCAAAGACTGGACAAACAAGGAAACATTTAGGGAGGAAAGTCCCTGTTGCTGTTCACAGTACTTCAAATGATTTGTAGTATTTCCATCATCCTGCAGAGAAAAACTTTGTACTTTTAGTTTAAAGGTACACCAGTTCCTTCAAGGAACAACAAGGTGACATGTTGGGTCAAACGGACTACATATAAAAATAAATACTATATGAATGTATATTTCTTATGCCTTGAAACATGATTATATAAACCTGGAGTTTAGAAAGCAAATGATGCACTAACAAGTATCAGCAGTCAGGTCAAATTTATTTATCAAGCACATTTAAAAACGTCAGCTGTTACCAGAATGCTTCACAATAATACTGGTAATCAGCGATGTTAATAAAAATAATAACAAATAATTTAAAGTAAAGTCAGCAAATCTGTCAAAAAATATCTAAAGGATGTTGGACTCTAGTAGCTGTCCAGTTAACCGTGTAAGCTGGAACGTGAAATTCCTTAACGGTCCAGTAAAATTCCAAAACATTTGAAGCAGCTGAACGCTGACATCACCTTTTCACAGGAGACTCACGTGCGCTCTGCAGACAGTGGAAAGTTTGTTAAAGCATGGTCAGGTCAGGTGTTTCAGTTCAATTTACAATCCACATGAAGAGCGGTAGCTGTGGAAGCAGGTGCAAGTCACAGCAGTGAGTGTGCACGCTGATGCTGCAGGGTGATGTGTTGTGGTAGTGGGAAGTTATACACCGTGCCATCGATCTTAGTTTCCTTGTATGTTCCCACATGGGACGACTTTACATTTTTTAATAACCTCTTTTCAAACATTCTGGATATGTCAACACACTACCTTATAACTGGTGGTGACACAAACTGTGCGTTCATCTCTGGACCGCAGCTCGATGGGAAGTACCATCCTGACCAAATCCACTCAGTCAGTAAGCTTGTTCCTCGAATCTTAAGACGAGGCTGATGGATGGCGCTTCCATAACCCTACTCCAAGATCATGCTCGTTGTTTTCCCCAGTTCACAAGACATACTCCCGAATAGACTACTTTTTCCTTGATCAACAAATTCTGTCTTTAGTGAAAGAACGTGACTATGGGGCCATGGTCATCTCAGACCATGGTCCACTTCTCAATACATAATCTGTACATCTTCCTTGGAGATTCAGCTCCTTACTCTTATCCAAGGAAGACGTTATCAGACTTCTTACATCTGAAATTTAATTATTCCTTGAAGTTAAGTGAACACTGGAAATGCTGTACTGTCTGGGAGGCATTAAAGGCCTACCTGAGGGGTCAAATAATGTCTTATTGTGCAAACAAAGAAAGAAGGTTTGGTACTGGACAGTTGACAGATGACATATTTCAATTAGACAGAGAACATAGTCGCTCCCCCTCACAGATCTAATGAAAACATGTTGTTACTCCAAACTGAATTTAACACTTTGTCTACTCAGCAGGCAGAATATTTCATTTCTAAATCTAGACAGGGTACTGTGAACATGGTGAAAGGGCTGGGTGTCTGCTCGCGCACCAGCTCCGGCGACAGTCAGTCGACAAAACTATTCCAGTTCTAAACAACAGCAGGGTTGTAGCTGCATGTCATGACAAGGCTGGAATTAATAGATGTTTTAGTAAGTTTCACCAGTCATTGACGACTGAGTCATCAGTTATTTTATCGGACTTAGAGAATCTTTTAAAAGATTTTAAACTTCCTTCAGTGAATCCTGGTCTTGCCAGGGATTTGGAGAGGGAGCTCTGTAGCTGAGTAACTCCCCAATGGTGGCAGTCGGCACTAACTGTGACATTAGTTTAGATATTTTGAAGTGCAGTGAGGTATGAGACGGGGTGCCAGTTCTCACCACTTCTATTTTTTTCAATCAACCTTTATTTAAACAGGTAAATCCCGTTGAGCCTCGAGGACTCTTTTACAAGAGAGACCTGATTTAACAAAGAAAGATGACGACAATGGACAACAGCAACAATAAACAGTTATAAAAAGTCATACGTCAGATTTTTTTTTTTTTTACAAATAAGATGCCAAAAAAAGTAACAAAAAAACAGCTAGAATCTAAGGCAAATGTAGAAACTAAAAACAGGAACATGTCAGCATTGGACCCTGCCAGGAGTCCAACAGATTCTTAAAGCCATTTAGAGAGGTCAAAGGTCAAGAACTTCAGGTCTTTTTGTAAGATATTCCAGGAAACAGGAGCAGAATAGGAGAAGGTCCTTTTGTCTAGTTCAGTCCTCACTGAGGGAACACTGCAGGTAATAATGTCCTGAGAGCTCACACCGTAGCATTTGCATTGGTGATATAACCATTAGCTGTAGCTTGATGTCAAAAATCAAGTTCCGGTTCCGGCGAGCTGATGGACGGCAGCTCCCTCCGGCTTCTCTGCAGTCTTTTATCATCAAACTGACCCGTTTTTTCGAACCGGACCAAAGTTGGTCCCCTTTCCAACCAAATTTGGTGTTCAGTGACTCAGAGAGCCGGACGGGACCTTCCAAAAAATTATTTCAGTCCAGGACCGGCTGCTCCCAGCCCACCAGTCACTCTGAGCTCACCCTGCTGGCCAGATGACCCCTCGAGCCGGGGAGTCATCGCACGATGGTCCGGTGTTTTTTCTCTCTCTCTCTCTCTGGACCCCAACGAACTTCTCATCTGGATCTTTGTGGTTCTACCTGGTTCTGACAAGAATCGCTGGGTGGTATTTTGGTGGCTTTTTCGTTGGTTTTCTGCTGGACTGGCCCTCGTGGTGTCTTCAATGGTGTGGGGGAAGGGTACCTGTGTCCCCTGAACTGGACCAGAACCGAACAGAGTTGGGTGTGGGGGACTTTGTCTTCAACAGAGCCGGTCTCAGCTTCAATGAGCAGCCCGTTATCTTTTAATGAAGGACTGTCCACCTCCGTGGAATTGCTGTGTTCGCCTGGAGGAGATGCTCTGATGCTTTGAAGCCCCGCCAGAACAGGATCGGACCGGAGCAGAACCGGACCAGAGACAACTTCAGCCACTTCAGCCTCTTCACCTCTCGTGCTGTGGAGCGCCGGAGCCAAACCGAAGCAGAACCGGACCGGACCAGTAATGACTTCAGCCTCTTCGGTCAGTCTCGTCGTTTTTCACCAGGGGTGCCTCTCGTGCTGTGGGGTGCAGAGGTGACGTGCAGAGGAGCAGCGCTGCGTGGTGCTCGAGAGAAGTTCGGAGTTTGCATCGGAGTTGCTACAGGCCTCCATCCAAACTCACCTGAATAATAATTATTTTTATTCTGGATCTGGACCCAGCTTCTGTTTCTCATGGGAGCATCCATCCATCTTCACAGGGCGGCCGAAGCCCCCCTCATGCCAACTCAAACTGCAGTTGGGTCTCCTCGTCGGATTTGTTTGCCCATTTGATTTGTGACCCTTTATGGTCTGAGACTATGGTCTGAGATTATTTTCAGATCTCAGATTATCTGGAGTCACTGAATCTTGTTAATACACCTGAATCTGTCCATCACTGCAACTTTCACTGTTTTTGGGTTCTGAATGATCACGTGTTCATTAATGTTTCTCATGGTTCGATTATGGGGGCTAATTGTCACACTGTTAACTCCTGTAATTACACATCAACCCTGGACCCCCCCCCCCCCACTAATTACAGCACACCAAATGACTTTAAGAACGTGTCAGGGCTTCATTTTCTGCATGTAAACGCTCGTAGCCTTCTGAGAAAACTTGATGCCTTGAAAATTCTGGTCAGTTCTTCTGGGGCAGATGTTATCTTCATCTCTGAAACCTGGCTCAACAAATCTGTACTCAATAATGACCTGGCAATCAATGGATTTAACATCTACCGCTGTGATCGTCAAAAAAAGGTGGGACGGGTGGGGTGGTTGGAGTCGCTATTTACATCAGAGATTCTCTGGTTTCTAGTCTTGTGTCTGCTAAAACAATCCCAAACCAGTTTGAGGCCTTAGCTGTAAACATCACTTTGAATGGAGGCCAGATCTTATCTGTAGTGGGTTGTTATCGTCCACCCTTAGCAACATCTGAG